AACCTTTTCATTGGTAACAAACATGATGCACTACACTTAGAAGAAGAAATACAATTGCAAATTTTTGAACAATTTTGCTATTTAAAACCTAAATTACCATCCGGTATGTGCTTCTGTTCAAAGCAGTTCTAATCTGTTGTAATATGCTTTACAATTTAATGATAGGTTTTCCTAAGAATGGTATGCTAAATCGATGTCCGAAGCCAACTAAAATTTATTTTTGTTTTTAATGTTTATTTTTTTCGAAAGATGATACAAAACAAAAATTAGAAGAAGTATCAAGTATGCGTATGCAACTAAATCGAAACTTAGAAGATACAAATGATTTAATTAAATTTAGAGTTAGGGGCAGTTCCTAATTCAGAATGAGGATGAAGTATTCAGAAATAAAAATCAAGCGTTTTCTTAATTCAAGAATTCAGGAATTCATAAACTGAATTCATCTTTTTCGAGTTCGAGAAAGATTCAAGAATTCAGAAATAACCATCAAGGATTTCTTTTAATTCATACAATTCAGACATGGGTTGAAAGAATAGACAAGTTCCATCAGGGATTTTTTTTATTGAATTTATCATTTTCCAGAGATTCACAGATTCACTCACATGTTCAGAAGAGTCATAAATCGACAAATTGCGCGGATCAGAGTGGGCTATAGCGCATGGTTCAGTGTTGGATAGCGCCTCACTCTCATCGTTCCACTCCACCCTACACTGCACTATGGTTACACAGAGACTTCTTATTTGTTACTCTCTGAATTAAACCTTGTCTATTCTTTCAACTCATGAATACTAGAATTCCAAGAATTGTTCAAACCGATTCGATATAATTTTGTCAAAGAACTCTTGGCTTTTTCGAGTTCAAGAAATTGCGAAAAGTCACATTTTGAATTTTTGTATTCTTTCAATTAAAAAAAGTCAAAAGTCTGGGTCAATTTCTGAATTCTTGCATTCTTTGAATTAAGAAAAATCCTGGATGGTTGGTTATTTCTAAATTCTTGAATCTTTCTCGAACTCGAAAAAGATGAATTCAGTTTATGAATTCCTGGATTCTTCATGCTAATTCTGAACTCGTCGTATGGCTACTCCTGAATTTCTGAAATTTTAGAAACTGGAAAAAAACCCGATGCTAATTCTTGAATTCTTTCTGCTAATCTTGAAAAAGCATTCTTGAGAATTCCGTACGCACTACATAGTATTACTACTACATAGTAAAAATTGGCTATTATATCATTAATATTTTCTTGCGTGATCATGTCTTCGTCATATAGCGCTGGATCAAGTGATCGGCGAGTTAATTCTATTTAGTATGGTTTAATCTTTTGGATTTTACTTATTCGATGCACATAGTCTCCTGATGTATAGATTGGGACACCTAGTGCTGCTCGAATTCGTTTGTTTTGTACTATTTGTAGCCGCTGCCATGTTTTATCATCCGCTGTTAGCAGTACAGACGACCCGTACGTTATTACTGTCCTGATTACATTGTTTCGATCAAAAATCACGCCGAGATACCTTGTTGACTGTTGTGGCTTTACTACTATATTTCCAACTGTTATGTTCATTTCTTTTTTATACTTTTTCTTTGGATGTGGAGCATTTCGGTCTTTACAGGCTGTATTGCTAACTTCCATGATAAGCATCAACGTTCAAATGCTTCAGTAGCTTCTTGTAAATTCTTTTTTAATGTCATGATAGTGTTTGAGGACGACCATAGTGCAGTATCGTCCGCGAACAGCCCGTTTTCCACGTTTGTTGGAATTTCATTCATAGAGTCGTACGTATAGATGATATACAGTATGGTGGCAGAGACGATCCTTGCGGAGTACCTCTACGCAACCTAAACGGTCTTGATAGTAAGTTTTCTAATTCTATTTGAGCAGTCAAGTTCTACCGTCAAGAAATGATATCACCCACTTGGCGATATGCTCAGGCAGTCGAAGGTCATGCATTTTGTAGATGAGTCCCTCGAACCACACTGAGTCGAACGCAGTTTTTATATCGAAGAATATCACGACCGAGTGTCGTTTTTGAAAGGAATTATTTCGAACATGATTCTCTAATTTGTATATGTTGTACATTGTGCCCTTTCTCTGTCTGAATCCTACCTGATGTTCTGGCAGGATGTGACGCTCATCTAAATTATTCATTATTCTTTGTTTTATGATTTTGTCCAGTAACTTACCTAAACAGCTTAATAGGCTGATAGGTCTGTAACTGGACGGTTGTTGTTTGTTTTTATCCGGTTTCAACAGAAGGATGATGAAAGCTGTTTTCCACGCAGCTGAAACGCATCCTGTTCTAATAGTACTGTTGAAAAGTACTGTCAAATTAGCGAGTAGAGATGGAGTATGATTCTTCAGGCACCGGTTATGAATATTGTCCGGTCCATGCGATGTATTCTTTAAGTGTTTCAGATGATTACGAAGTTCTTTTATTGTAATTTTAGGAGAGTTTTGAAGTTGTTTTTTGTATTTAAGTTCCAGTTTGTTGACGGTGTTTGTTACATGCTCGTGAAACGGTGTTACATCTTGTTTAGACATATAGACCGCATTTTCAAAGTACGTAGCATACATTTCGCATTTTTGTCTATCGGTGGTTGCCGTTTGATTGTTATATTTTATTATACTGTTATAAGTTCTATCGTTACACAGGGAATTGTCTAATAACACCTTGTACTTATAGTACTCTCTTTTTGCTTCTTCTGTGCCAGTGCATTAGCGCAAAACTGACTTTTTATACGTGGAACAGAATCGGTCCAAATTTTTTTTCTGAAGAGCTTATTATGTGAATCGACGGGCAGCAAAGTATCTCTTCATTCAAATCACTTTTCGCATTTTGACGCGAATAGTAGCGCCACTTAAAACGCGTTACTATTCGCGCCAAAATGCGAAAAGTGATTTGAATCAAGAGATACTTTGCTGCCCGTCGATTCACATAATAAGCTCTTCAGAAAAAAAATTTGGACCGATTCTGTTCCACGTATAAAAAGTCGATTTTGCGCTAATGGTTTTTCCAGTGAAGTTTGACCGTATTTACGGTCACGACTCTGTGTTTATCTGACTGAGGAGGGAAATCTATCTGCTCTTCGTTAAATCTTTGCACTCATTCAAAAAAACCCTGCACAATGGCCGACTGTGGGAGGCAACGTTGTTTGATTTTTGAAATTTTCTTCCATATATTTTAAATTTAAATTCTTTAAAATTTAAAACTTAAAAAAATTGAAATGTAAGTTTTTTCAGAATTTTTCCATTAACTCTGAAAGGCAGACCACGTAACTCCTTGCAGTCGGTCATTGCACACATTTTTTGTAGCAAGATGTTCACTTCATCAGGCTTCGTTATTGCAGGATCCTTGGCAAGAGTTTCACAATGCAGTTAATGAGTGGCTCCATACACCTTATATGTGCCCTCAAACTATGGCAGTGTGAAGAGGACGATTGGAGTTAAATTTGACGATATAAACTTGAGATTTCTTGGTCATGTATTAAAGCAAACTACGAACATGTAATGTAACAATTGTCTCGATTTGTTCGGTATTTCAAAGAAATAAAAAAAGTTTATATAAAAAAAAATCTAAATTTGAAGAATTGTAACATAGTGGCTAAATAGCCCAATGTGTTCTCTACAATTCTGCACAAAGCTGACCTCTCTATCTGTTGTGGTTCTTGAATGGCAGGCATTTACCCGACGAAATGGTAACGAATTTCGGATGACTCAGGAAAATGCCTGTCATTCGAGAATCACAACAGTTAGACAATTTGGACTGACTGATCTAAATACCGCTTCCATAATGTTTTCTAAAAAAGATTTCTAGAAGAATATAAACCCAACTTTTTATTCTAAATTCCTTGTCAAAATCTGATTTTATGCCAATAATATAATTCACATTACTCTATTTTTTTTATTCAAAAACAAGTAACAAAAATTGGCAAATCTATATATAAAAATACATTTTAAACAACGTATTATTTTTTTATGAAAGTGTTTGAAAAGTATTATAAAAAGTAGTGATAGTAATGAGAATGTTGAAAACTTCACAATAAAATATCGCCAATATTAATAAAACACGTGTTCTTTAAAGTTGTGATTATACATATTTGCCTATAATACTACACACGCACCTAGATGAGTAATGATAAAAATGCACAGAAACAAAATTACGTAAAGTTGGCACAGGAACGTCTTATGTCTCTTACAGTGAAAAAATAAATTGCTTTAAGATATCCAACAGAGTATAAACCAACAAATAAAAAGAGAAAAAGAAAAATAGAACAGTCAACACGCAAATACTAGTTTTATAAAAGAAAAATCGTCAGAAAAAGAGAGAATGTCACACATATGGACGGAGAAAAACAATTCAAAAACTAGACTTTTAAAAAACTCGCTCAAGGTGTTGTATCTCCACATAAACTACAGTTGCGATCAATTCCCTAGAATCAAAATAAATATATTATGATAAATGAATCTAATTAGCACATTCAAGGAAAGAAAAAGCATCTCTAGAATTCCGTATGCACTACATAGTATTAGAAAAGCAATAAATAATGTTGTCTTTTGAAAAGCAACACAAACGAACTTTATTCGTCGATTTTTGTTTTAAATCTTTAATGTTATTGAAATCTTTAACGAGGATGAAATTACTAATCGGCCATATGTAAAAGAATAAGCTACATACTTTTGTTGGTGATCGTGTATCGGTACGTTGTGGAGAATAATTTCGTACAGGTGATCGACGACCACTAGTTCTAGAAAAAGGCGTTTTGTTTCAGCTCAGATCACATTTAATAGAGTATAGGAATTTACGTTGTTACTCTTGGAGAAGTATTTCGAAAACGAGATTCCACATCTATATGGGTTGTTAAATCAGTCATTTTCCTTAATTCTTGTGCTGATTTTTCACTATTAGACATAAAACTCAATTTATTTATTGTTAGAAAAATTTTGATGACACATACCGTTCATATCGTTCACCTGTCAATTGTCGTTTTAGTCTTTCATTATCTGTTTCTAGGCCGATTACCTGTGTTCGAAGAGAGGCTATTTCTTTACTTTGACTTTGTCTAAATACGAAGATAATCCTATATGTTATCAGCTGCTGTTATAAGAAATTTCAACATAAACTTACATTTTCATATCATTCATATTTACACGATCTTTTAACAATTGTAACTCAGATTCTTTTTCTTGTGATTGTAACTGTAGCTGGAAGTCTTTTTCACGTGTTGATCCAATTATATCTTCTAAACTTCGTACCATTGCTCTTTCATTTTGTATCTGATTTCTTAACATTTCAATTTCAACTTTCATATCGGATACAGCTGATTGAAGCTAAATAAAAACAAACATCAAACTAAATCATATAAATTGACACAATCAATTTAAAATATTATCGTCGTTAGTTCTATTAAATAAATTCTTTCTTTATCCACAGTAATCTATATTTATTTAACATACTTGTTCATTTTCTATTTCTTTGCCCGTTAAATGTCTTGTTATTTGTTCCCTTTTCAGTTCTAATGTTGAATTAATATCTTTAATATTTCCAATTTCATCGGCATAACCTTGTTTGTCATTATGTAATTTTTTAATTATATCTTCGTTACGCTGCATTGAACGGTTCATATTCGATAATTGAATTTCAAATTCTTGACCAACCGCTAATTGCTATAAAATAAATACAGTTTATAATAACATATATTATAGGTGAAATATAACAAAAACTACCTTTTGTAATTCTCTTTCTAAATACTCGATACGTTCATTAAGACGTTTTACATCAGACGTTTTCATATGTAGCTCTTGTTTTCTATTCAATGTTTCTGTTTCTAATTCGGCAATCGTCATTTTCATTCGATTTAATTCACCACTTGCTTCACGATACTGTTCGACTAATGTATTACGATCATGTTCCTTAGAGAAAACAATAACTCGTGTGAGAATTAAGTAACAAGAAACAATTATTGCTTACTTTTTGAGTAATTAAATCTTCACACTTTGACACTTCATTAATATAATCTTGAACCTGTAGTTTCAAATTTTCTTTATCATCGACAGCATGTTCAAGTTCTTGATGAATAGTCTATAATAAAATAGAATAATGAATATACCAATTAAAGAATTAATAAAGAATGCTCGTTATATACTTGATTTTCACGTGTCACTGTTAATAAATCATCTTGCAAACGTTTTATATCACGTACGGACAAATCAAATTTACGACGTATATCATTTGTATCTTCTAAATTTCGATCTAGTTGCATACGCATACTTGATATTTCTTTTAATTTTTGTTTTGTATCATCTTTTGATCGACTAGAAAATAATTCACAAAACAAAATGTATACTTTTTAAATCAAAAATCTTCTTTTCTTAATGTATATATACTCTAATGCTGCTTCTAATTCAGCTGTCATCACATTTAATTCATCAATTCGTCGTGTTTTTGAATTTAATTCTTGTATTAAATGTATATTTTCTTCTGTTTTAATATCAATTTCACTACATAAACGATCTTTTTCTTTATCTAATGTATTTACTGTTGTACGAACAATGTTAAAATCATCTTTGATACCTTTATTTGTCTCCTGTAAGTCATCTAGATGAACAGTATAAATTTTAAATTGTAGTTAATATAGAATTTGAAAATATTACTTACAAAGTTTTTTCTCCAATCTCAATGCTTTTTCATCAGCACTACGTATTTCTTCTTTTTTTAAACTCAATTGTCGTTGATGTTCTTGAACAAGACGTTCAGCTTCTTCGGATAAAAATCTATAAAAAGAAATAGCTGATAACTGTTACTCTTATAGCTCTTATTTTACCTTAATTGAGTTGATGTTGATTTCTGATCACCTAATTCTTGATTTATCTGTGAAATAGCAAATGATTGTTCGCGTAGTTTATTTTCTAATTGATCAATTTGTTCATGTAGAACACGATTTTGTTGAATAATTTCTTCACGATCATTATCAACCTAGAGAATGAAAAATAACAACAGAATACCGTTTCTAAGTTTCATAATAAGATAAACTACTATTACTTTTTGTATTTCAATTTCAAGATCTTCAATACGTTGTTCGTAATGTGCACGTTCATTTAATGCAGTGTCCGTTGAAATCTAAATGCATAGAATTCTAAGAGATTAGAATTTATTTATGTGTAACTATGTACCCTTAGACGTTCTCTCAACGAATCTCGTTCATTTGTTACTGTACGTAATTCAACAATAGCGCTATCACGTTCATTTTCAACTTTTCTCAAAATTGATTGAGCTGCAAGTGATACTTTTGGTGTTTGCGCATTATGCAGTAGATCGTGACGAGCATCTTGTAATTCTTCTTTTGTCTACAATAATACAGTAAAAAGAATCATATAGTATTTATTATATAAAATTTCATCAAATACACATACTCGTTCATAGAGTACACTTAAATTATCACGTTCATTTGTTAAAACTTTAATATTTCCTTGAATCTAAATAATTGTGAATAATTTAGATTCATTTATTATTTTTTTAGACACCAAATTAGTCACTGGTAAGCAGTGTCAATCAACAAAAAACTAGAATTACCTCGGCCATATGTCGTTCAAGTTTATTTAATAATAATTGCAAATCCTCTTTTTCTCTTAGAACTCGTGCTAATTGTGTTTCGTCAACGTCCTATCGTTACAATAATAATGAAAAAAAAATCTACTATATCTTCAAACTATATAATTTTTTCACTATACCTTTTCACGAGATGAACGTGATGAATTTTTATATTTACTTAATTCACGTTTAAATCGATCACGTTCATCTTCTAAATTTCTTAATGCATTTTCATAATGATTTGAGTCCTAATGAAACACAAGAAAATTATGACACTATTACTTTTCATGTGTAAAAATCAACATACTTTAGATTGTGATATTTTACTTCTACTCAGACCACATACCATACATTTCGCTGCTGAACGTGATGGTGATGTACTGGCAGATATAGATCGTTTAATAGGTGATGTAGCAATGTCTTTTCTTGTTAAACGATGTTGTGGTGATGAACGTGTTAATAATTGTGGACTTGTTGATCGAGCACGGGATGTTGGAGAATGTGATGTATGACGATGATAAAATCTTTCATTTAATAATTTTTGTAATGTATCAATTTCATTCTTATATAAATCACGTTCATCTTCAACATTTTTTAAATGTGTATCTAAACGTGCTGGTAATGATAACTTTTTAGTTGAACCACCTGGTGTCGCTGGTTTTGTTATACGACGTGATTTTTGTAATTCTTGTAATAAATCTTTTTCTTTAAAAAACAAAAAAAAATAAAAAATACAAATATGAATAATGCTAATCTATAATTTTATAGTATACCATTTAGTACTAGTTTTGATAAACGTTTACTCAAGCGTGCTTTATCCGTTTGAATACGTTCAATTAAATCTTGTAAACGAACAATTTCATTATCACGTTCGGAAGATTGAGCTTTAGATATTTCAAGTTCTTGTAAAAGACTTTTACGTTCCTAGAAAAATAAAAATAATAAATGCAAATTTCTACTTTTTTATTATGATTTATATATTATACCAAATTTAAACTGACTATTTTGGCTTCTAATGATTCTATTCTTTGATGATTTTGTTCTATTTCTAACTAAAAGCAACAAGCGTTGACTATATGTATAATAATTAAAATTAAATTGAACACACTTTAGCTTCATTTAAATCTCTGTCAGCTGCATCAACTGTATATTCTTTATCTGCTTGAACTTTTCGTGCTAATCGATCAATATCTTTTAAATCTCTTAATAGATCAATATTTTTTAATTTCTCTTCAAATTGTTTACTGGATAAATCACGTTTCAAATCAATCAATTCTTGTAAACGTCTTTCTAACTGACGATTTTTCTCGTGTAAATAATCAATCTGTAAGATTAGAAAATAAAAATTATGTTCCTTTCATCGATTTATTAACATCATCTATAATTACTTGAACATTCTGATGATCAATTAGTTTTTCATTACTTTTCAATTTTGATTCAAGTGCTAAAACATCTGCAGAACGATCACTGTCAAGGAATCGACCTAATCGTTCAATTTCTCGATCACGATTTTCCACCTAGATTAAACAAATGGACTATATTTATTGTTTTATTGTCATCTTAAGTTGTCATAAAGATCTTAGTTGTGTCTATTTAGTGGTAGTCATCGACAGTGACTTGTGCTTTGATTTATAAGGAGTGTTGTTAAGACAAATTTTCTTAACGTTTCTAAAGTCTGTTTGTTAGCAATGGAAAGTACTCAATCTACACATCGAACAATTAAAGTAAAGGCTTGCGGTGTTCGTCAGGAGTTGAGCGTATTTTTTCATCTCGAACGTCATTTTGAAAATCTTTTCTCAAAGTAGGTTTTTCTGAGGATCAGACTTCAGTCAACTGTCAGGTCTGGCAGCCGATGATTTGGAGGTGACGTTGAGATTGCATAGAACATACATAATTGACCACACTGCATGTTGCGAGAACGTTTGTTTTCGGATAAGAATCCAAATAATCTGATGAAAACTGATTTTTACAAAGAACAGTTTGGGTTTCCAGGTTGTTATCAACTAATATTACAATTCACAAAAAAAACAATTCACTCAAAATAACAGACTAGTTACCGATGAAAAACAACCAAAATATTTTTATTATAAGTGTTTTAGTAATAAAATGGTATTCTAAAGATTCTCAAGAAAACCTACTTTGAGAGAAGATTTTCAAAATGACATACAAGATGAAAAAATGCACTCAGGTCTTGACTTCCAAGTGACAAACACCACCTCTATCACTTTTCTGTCAAACGTTATTCAAGAAACATTTTAATCTATTCTTTTTTTTCCCGACGGTAGTTTTATGACCCCAATACAAAAATGTGTAATATAAATTTGATACGAGGTAGTGTTAATTCTGTTGATAATATGATAAGGAAATTACATTTAAATTTAATTTCGTTTTTCTCATAGAATTTTCTTTTATTTTATAAATTTATTTACAACTGCTAAACGTTTCGAAATCTAAACCGACTCCTTCAGTAGTAC